TAGCTGATAATATTCTAAGAGATAAAAGGTGAATTCCATAAAGCAAGATCAGGATGCTTTCCAGAGAAACTCTAGGAGAACAAAAAAATTTTCTTGGACATTATAAATACAAGAGAAGGGCAGGCGCAGTGGCTCACACCTGTAATTCTAGCACTCTGGGAGGCAGAGGCAGGTGGATTGCTTGAGCTCACAAGTTCGAGAGCAGCCTGAGCAAGAATGAGACCCCTGTCTCTAAAAAATACCTAGGCATTATGGCGGGTGCCTATAGTCCCAGCTACCAGGGAGGCTAAAACAAGAGAATTGCTTTGAGCCCAACAGTTTAAAGTTGTGAGCTGTGTCGCCACAGCACTTAACCAAGGGTGACAAAGTGAGACTGTCTCAAAAAAAAATAATAATAAAAATAAATAAATCACAAGAGAAATAGAAAAATAGAAAGATGAAACACAAGAAATATAAATTAGAGCAACAAGACGAAATAAACCAAGTAAGAAAAGATATAAGACAACCACCACAGGAACTTATTAGGTATGTAAAAGGGGACTTACACAGTGAAAAAGTTTTTAACTAAGTGAGGAAATCAAATTTTAAAATTCTGGAAATTTCCTATCAATCAAGTGCACAATGAAAAATCAGAACAGGCTTGGCGCCTGTAGCTCAGTAGCTAGGGCACCAACCGCATATACTGGAGCTGGCGGGTTCAAATCCAGCCCAGGTTGGCCAAACAACAATGACAACTGCAACAAAAAAAAATAGCCAGGCGGTATGGTGGACACCTGTAGTCCCAGATACTTGGGAGGCTGAAGCAAGAGAATCGCTTCAGCCCAGCAGTTTGAGGTTGCTGTGAGCTGTGATGCCATAGCACTCTACCCAGGGTGACATAGTAACAATCTGTCTCAAAAAAAAAGAAAAGAAAAATCAGAACAGAACTCATCAAAAGGCTGACACCAGACCTCACTGTACTCTCTATGACCTGACAGATAAGAGCTTATCTGGAACCACCAAAAAGAAGCCACAGACATAATAACATGTCTAGAAGGTGTATAAAGCAGGTACATAGTCGTGCTCTCAGCATGCTGGATGTTGACTGGACATGGTGTAGCAGACACACAGCAGGCCTCTACACACCTGGGTCTCACTGTGGGTGTACCTAGCACAGAGTATACAATAGACTCACCTGTCAGCCACCTCCAGGTCTGACTCCATCTTGTCCAGGCCCCTCATGACACTGTCTAGCTGTTGCCCCTGGTGGTGAAGAACTCTTGCAGTGTCCTCTAGGCGCCTCTGTGAGCCAGCCATCAGTGCTGTGAGTTCCTCCCCACGGGTCCTGGAGGTGGATGCCCCAGCCACCGCTCCAGGCTGTGACAGCAGCAGCTCTCTCCAGAAGTGCTCAATAATGCTGAAGACAACATTCCGACTCGGCTGCAGGGAGCTGAACCAGTGCTTGGCGCCACTATTCTCTAGGATGGTAAGGGAGCTGAAGATGAAATGTGAGGCCTCCTTCTTGATCTTAACAACACTGGTCAAGGGAAAACCAACAAGGATCTCTCCTGTGCTGTCAGCCACGAATCTGAGTGCCAGCGGCATTAAGGACAGTTTACCTGGCACCCATCGCTTCTCAAGTTCTGCATAATAGGTGCACGGCCAGGTGTGGATGCAGATGTCCTTGCTCATCTGCTCCTGAGTTGGTCTGCACCAGGAACCAGGCCAGTGCTCTGCCTCTGAAGGAGAAGGGACAGTGTCACCACTGGATGGAACTCAGGAAGGAAGAGCCCATGTAGGCCCTGGTCTCTGACTCTTCCCAGAACACTCTCTGTGTGGTTGTGATGTTCCCTCTCTAAGCATATTCATGCAAGTTTCTACTCATATCCCCTTTGGAAATTTTTTTTTATTTTTTGAGACAGAGTCTTGGTCTGTCACCCAGGCTGGAGTACAGTGGTGCAATCACAGCACATTGCAGCCTTTAACTCCTGGGCTCAAGAGGTTCTTCCACCTCAGCCTCTCAAGTAACTGTGACGAAAAGGTACACCTCTGTGCCTTGGCTAAGCTTTTTAATTTTTTGTAGAGATTTAGTCTGTGTTGCTCAGGTTGGTCTTGAACTGGCCTCAAGTGATCCTCCTACCTTGGCCTCCCAAAATTGGGATTACAGGCATGATTCACTGCATCTGGTCTCCTTTAGAAATTTATATATGCTCATATGACTGCACAGAGGAAACAATCCTACAGATAAACTTCTCCCCTTCTTGTAATCCCAGCTGACCTCTGGAGTTCTACACACCTATGCAGTAACACGTACATGAACAAATTCATTATCTTTGTAGTTTGGGAAGCTGTAAGCAGTGAAGGTGTAGCAGCCCCATTAGTATTTTCAGTTATATTTACCAGTGCCATTTGAAAAGTCTTGTTTGACAGACTTGAATTAGCACTCAGGAAACATGCAGTTCCACCCTTTCATTGTATAGATGAGAAACTGGCCTTGTGTGAAGTCCAGCCATTAGTCTGTGACTCTGCTGGGGCCAAGTCATGCTTGGTCTGATGGCAGTGTGGTGTTCCTTCCACTTCTCTCTCTCACAGACATATGATTTATTTATGAGTGACTTCTCTCATAAAAACATGAGAACAGATAGCTAGAGGTAAGATACTAGAAAGTACAAGCTTTTCTCAGCACAGCAGGAGGGTCCAGGATCCTCCTTGTTCAGGCAGCATGTGTATAAGTCGCTCCTGTGTGCTAGATGCCTTGCAGGCAAGCACAAGAGACATCACACTAACATAGTCTCTGGGTCGGGAAGCCTGGGGCAACTGGAATTCCACTAATTTTCTCACAGAATTACACTATTTGGGCTCGGCGCCTGTGGCTCAAGCAGCTAAGGCAGTAGCCACATACACCTGAGCTGGCAGATTCGAATCCAGCCCGGGCTGGCCAAAAAACAATGATGGCTGCAACCAAAAAACAGCCAGGCATTGTGGTGGGCACCTGTAGTCCCAGCTGCTTGGGAGGCGGGGGCAGGAGACTCACTTGAGCCCAGGAGTTAGAGGTTGCTGTGAGCTGTGATGCCACAGCACTCTAC